TCCCTCCAACCTTTCCGAGGCCGACCCCTACCCCGCCTTCCTTCCACTACAGACTGATACACTCTTGAAGTCATTCTGTTTCTCTCCATTCCCTCTACATGTCCGAACCACCTCAACAACCCTTCCTCAGCCCTCTGGACAACAGTTTTGGTAATCCCGCACCTCCTCCTAACTTCCAAACTACGAATTCTCTGCATTATATTCACACCACACATTGCCCTCAGACATGACATCTCCACTGCCTCCAGCCTTCTCCTCGCTGCAACATTCATCACCCATGCTTCACACCCATATAAGAGCGAGACTCAAGAAATCGTAATGACACGATTGCAAACAAACCATTCCCCCGGCCGGGATTGAACCCGCGGTCATAGAGTCTCAAAACTCCAGCCCGTTGCGTTAGCCACTAGACCAGCTAGTTGGATGAATTTTATTGTGGCTAGCTGGTCTCGTGGCTAACGCGACGGGCTGGAGTTTTGAGACTCTATGACCGCGGGTTCAATCCCGGCCGGGGGAATGGTTTGTTTGCAATCGTGTCATTACGATTTCTTGAGTCATGTTGACGGCAGTGATGGGACTTGAGCTAGAGTTCGTCACGGCCACGCTAGCTGGAGATTCGTCTGTAAAAACTTGCATTTGTGGTCACAGAGGTGCCTGTGCTAACCTTAATATGGTGTAGAAATATACCTAGTTGGATGAATCTTATTGTGGCTAGCTGGTCTAGTGGCTAACGCGACGGGCTGGAGTTTTGAGACTCTATGACCGCGGGTTCAATCCCGGCCGGGGGAGTGGTTTGTTTGCAATCGTGTCATTACGATTTCTTGAGTCATGTTGACGGCAGTGAAGGGACTTGAGCTAGAGTTCGTCACGGCCACGCTAGCTGGAGATTCGTCTGTAAAAACTTGCATTTGTGGTCACAGAGGTGCCTGTGCTAACCTTCCTATGGTGTAGAAATATACCTAGTTGGATGAATCTTATTGTGGCTAGCTGGTCTAGTGGCTAACGCGACGGGCTGGAGTTTTGAGACTATGACCGCGGGTTCAATCCCGGCCGGGGGTATGGTTCATATAAGAGCGTTGGCAAAACTATACTCTCATACATTCCCCTCTTTGCCTCCAAGGACAAAGTTCTTTGTCTCCACAGACTCCTAAGTGCACCATTCACCATTTTCCCCTCATCAATTCTATGATTCACCTCATCCTTCATAGACCCATCCGCTGACACGTCCACTCCCAAATGTATGAATACATTCACCTCCACCATACTCTCTCCCTCCAATCTGATATCCAATCTTTCATCACCTAATCTTTTTGTTATTCTCATAAACTTACTCTTTCCTGTATTCACTTCTAATTTTCTTCTTTTGCACACCCTACCAAATTCATCCACCAATCTCTGCAACTTCTCTTCAGAATCTCCCAAGAGCACAGTGTCATCAGCAAAGAGCAACTGTGACAACTCATACTTTATGTGTGATTCTTTATCTTTTAACTCCACGCCTCTTGTCAAGACCCTCGCATTTACTTCTTTTACAACCCCATCTATAAATATATTAAACAACCACGGTGACATCACACATCCTTGTCTAAGGCCTACTTTTACTGGGAAATAATTTCCCTCTTTCCTACATACTCTAACTTGAGCCTCACTATCCTCGTAAAAACTCTTCACTGCTTTCAGTAACCTACCTCCTATACCATACACTTGCAACATCTGCCACATTGCCCCCTATATATATATATATATATATATATATATATATATATATATATATATATATATATATATATATATATATATATATATATATATATATATATATATATATAAAATATATTTATATATATATATATATATATATATATATATATATATATATATATATATATATATATATATATATATATATATATATATATATTATATCGTGCCGAATATGTAAAACTGGTCAATTAGCAAGAACTCATTTAAAATTAAGTAATTTTTTAAATTATTGCATATACAAATTTTCACTTGTCCTATATGGCAAGATGAGCGTTGCTATTTAAGGCAAGATCGCAAGTTCTGCCTATTCGGCACGACATATAAACGGGTACCCTCATCCTAGGAGAAAAGGATAAATTTACGTCAGGGAAAACTGAATATTCTCCCTAATATATTCAGGAATCTTGTAGACGCAACCATCAGTATTTTCTATAAAATCTTATTTAACTGTATGAAGGTTTTTAAATACTGATGAAGTATATTACTGTCAAGCTGGTAAAAGTTTTGAACAAAGATTAAAGCATCATAAATAGCATTCTAAGTGGACAAGATTCCTATGCTCTATTTATTCATGTGAGAGATTTTTAACTATCCAACTGATTTTCATAAGACTGAGAAGGTTGTATCAAGCAAGTCCATGGTCAACAGGGAAATAATGGAATCATATTTCATAAAAAGTACTTTTGAAAATAATATGAATATTGCTTTTGGTATATACAAATTGGATTCATTTGTAATTAATAGAATTTGGGAAGAATTTATGATACATTAGATAAGTTAAACTCTTAATGCTTGAGTAGAATATAAACCTGTGTTTCACTTTCATCATCATAAGACGTCAGGTGTTGTAAGGCAACTGTGAGGTGTAGTCTCGCTCCTTGTATGTCTTCCTGTTGATTTTATATTTTTTACAGTTACTTGATAATGTGAGAAATCACGAGAGCGCTTGAAATTATTCTGTTTTTTTTTCACAGTGGTTGTTTTGCATTCTGTACATATTGTGATATCACAATATATTCACTAGTTTCGTAGTTTAACTCCTTTATCAAACACTGTTTAAAATCAAGATAATAATATGCAATAACCAAGATTAAAAATATGCTAAATATCAAATACATATAAGTAAAAGAAATGAGAGTAAAAATAACGAATAAAAATAAAATCTAGCGACAAAATAACTTTAATGGCTGATCATCATTACACAAGGAAGGTTTGTCTCTAATGGTGGTGATGTTTACAATGTCTCTCTAAATCAGAATATTGTAGATAACTTTAATATGTTCAAGACTGCCTAATATCTGCATTTTTCTATATTCTCTAATACGTAACTGACGCTTCACGCTTGCCAGAGGATGGTATAGTGAACTGTTTCCAAGTAACTGGATCTATCCTAACTTTATTTGAATAGATATATCCTATCCTCCTCTGCTTTATAACTTCTACTGGCTTAGTGTTTCTCAGTCAATATAATAATAATAATAATATATAATAATAATAATAATAATAATAATAATAATAATAATAATAATAATGATAATAATAATAATAACTGTTATAATTAATAATAATAATAATAGTAGTAAAATAATAATAATAATAATAATAATAATAATAATAATAAATAAGAATAAGAATAAGAATAAGAAGAAGAAGAAGATGAAGAAGAAGATGAAGAAGATGAAGATGATGTTGATGATGATGATGATGAAGATGATGATGATGAAGATGATGTTGATGATGATGATGATGAAGATGATGATGAAGATGATGATGATGAAGATGATGATGAAGATGATGATGATGAAGATGATGTTGATGATGATGATGATGAAGATGATGATGAAGATGATGATGAAGATGATGATGATGATGATGATGAAGATGATGATGAAGATGATGATGATGAAGATGATGTTGATGATGATGATGATGAAGATGATGATGAAGATGATGATGAGGAAGATGATGTTGATGATGATGATGAAGATGATGATGAAGATGATGATGATGAAGATGATGTTGATGATGATGATGAAGATGATGATGATGAAGATGATGTTGATGAAGATGATGGTGATGATGATGATGATGATGAAGATGATGAAAAAGATGATGAAAAAGAAGATGAAGAAGAAGAATTAATAATAAAAATAATAAAAATAATAATTATAATTATACAATAATATTAGTAATAATAATAATAATAATACAATGATCAATCCCTCAAACAAGAAGTGAATATTTTAAATCATATTACCTCAAATTCTCTAGTTTAAGTAACGCAGATTTTCTCGGATACATTAATTAAGGCAATATAATTTTCTTAACAATTCCATCACAATATAAATATTTTTTTCTATACTTTGAGTAATACATTGTTTCTTGTGCAACATAATTCTGGTTTGTGTATGGAAACGACAGCAGAAAAACTAAAAAAATAAGAGATCGATGAATAAGGAAGAAAGAGAGAGTAACGAGGAAAGACTAATTAACAAAAAGAGAGAAATACTGAAGACAAGATAAATACACAGGGAACGATGATGAAAAGAGAAACAAGACACAGAAAGCAGAGCAGCAGAAAAATTGGAAAATAAAAAGAACGAATGGAGAACAAAGACGAAAGAAGTAGTGAGCAGAAGAATAAGGACCGGAGAACAGAGAATTAATGAAAATAAAATAAAGAAACAGTGAAAGAATAAGAGAAATATGAATAAGTAATAGGAAAGATAATTAACGAATTAGAGAAGAATAAAGAAACAAGAACAGACTAGTTGTGAACCAAGAAAAAGAGGAATAATAAATGAAAAATATAGGAAAATAAAACGAAGAATAGATTATCAGTGAATGGGGAACAAAAGAAAAAATAATGGATAACAAAGGAAAAAGGAAAGAGAGGAGAGTAGAGATGGATGGAAAACAGAACCTATAGGAAAAAGAAAAAAAAAGAAAACAGAGAACATAATAATAACGAATGAAGAACTGAGTAATAACAAAGAAGAAGTCTGTCACAAATATATAGAACACTCACCATCCTGAACCAGGAGATCTTGTAGTCAGTCATAAATATATAGAACACTCACCATCCTGAACCAGGAGATCTTGTAGTCAGTCATAAATATATAGAACACTCACCATCCTGAACCAGGAGATCTTGTAGTCAGTCATAAATATATAGAACACTCACCATCCTGAACCAGGAGATCTTGTAGTCAGTCATAAATATGTAGAACACTCACCATCCTGAACCAGGAGATCTTGTAGGTTGGAGGGTTCGAGTCAACATTACAGTTAAAGTAGACGTCTTCACCTTCCCTGACCACGGAGGAGACGCCTCGTCCCAGCTCCATAGTGGCTACCGGCGGGTCTGTCGGGTCGGAAGAATTATCCCCTGATTACTGTATGATTCTGAAGCAGTTAACCCTTAAACTGTCCGAACGTAGATCTACGTTTTTTCAATATTTGAAAGTATGTAAAAAAACGTAGAGCTTCTTTTTATTTTTTACATTTGAAAACGTGTAAAAAAAAACTTTGATCTACGTTTTTTTTATTATATTTGAAAATATATAAAAAAAACGTAATGTACTTTTGGAGCACTACGAAAGTGAACATAGATCGCTTGGACATTTAATTTTTAAAGGGGGGTGTTTAGAGAGATCTTTTTAAAGAATAAAGTGAAAAACTGTGGGGAAAAATTTATTTTGGGGTGCTTAGAGGGATTAGTGAGAGTTTTTTTGCTTTTAGAAATTTGTTTTAAGTTAAAAGAAATTTGGATTTAAAGGAACATTGTAGGGTTTGGGTTTTTGATTGTAAATCCTTTTTTAGTTTATAAGGCACCCAGTAGGAACGGGCTTTGGTTTTTTTTATTAATAGAAAGGGAGATATAAAGAAATGTGTAAAGGGGGTTTGTCGAGGGGTAATGGAAATTTGGAGAAAATTACTGAGACTTTAAGAGCAGGTTATGTAAAAATTTTGGGGGTTTAAATTTCGTGGGGGAAATTATTTCTTATTAACTAGCCGGTTTTGAAAAAAGGGCTGTGTGAAAAAAATAAAAAAAAAAATTGTTGTATTTAGAAAATTTTGGTATGGGGGAAACCCCCGAGGGGGGAAAAAAAAAATGGCCCAAATTTCCAAATTTGTAAATTTTAAAAAACCAACGAAAAAATCTAAATTTTACCTTTAAAATAATGGTAAAATGCAGTATGCCGAAGGGGTACTCTGGGAAAGGCCCGAACTTAAAAAAAATTTTCGTGCCCCCCATCCCCCTTTTCCTATTTTTTCATTGACAGTTTTTCATTACATATGAAATAAATTTTTTAGTTGGGGGATTTGAAGGATGAAATTCGGGGAGTATAAGGGGGAAAAGGGTTTCCCGGGGGTCAACGCCCCCGCGGCCGGGTTTCCTGTGATCAGGCCGCGGGGAAAGGGTTTACTTGGAATTGCTGGGGTATGAGAATGGAAAGTAAGATTACAGAGAAACCCCTATAAATGTAACAAGATACGGGTAACACCCTACGCAAAACTTCCATTATAAATTCCACTTCCGGCATTAAAGCGCGGGCCCCCACTAAACTAGGAATAATAGTTTAAAGCCCTTTGCCCAACCTTTCTGTTTTAAAAAAAAAATATTTTAATTATAATAAATATATAAATAAAAAATATAAAAATTTTAAAATATATAAATATATATATATATTTTTATTATATATATAAACAAAACAAAATATATATATATATAAATAAAAAAATATATAAATATATAATATTATATTATATTTTATAAAATATAAATATATAAAATATTGCCCGGGCCGAATGGGTAAAACTAAATTTGCGTTTTTGGGCCTTAAAAAGAAAACGCCCTTTTTGGGCCAAAAATCCCAAGCAAAAAATTTGGTGAATGCAAAATTTCCCCAAAAAATCTTTTTTAAAACCCTAATGAAAAAAAAATAATAAAATAACTGCGTTTGTTTTTTTATTAAATTATTGCAAAACTTTTTGAGAAAAAGAAAAATTTTTGGAAAGCTTAAGAACGAATGGATTTCAAAAAAAAAATAGGAAGAGTTATTAATGGAAGTTAGGGGTTTCCGGAAGATGGAATAATTTTTTTGAGGAACTTGAAGGGTTATGAAAAAAGGGAAACAGGGGGATTTCGAGCTTTGGGCGGGGAGGTAAAAATCGGTAGGAGGCGAAAAGCCGTAGTTAGTGGAGGCAAGTACGAGGGGCAGTGAGAAAAAATTGAAAAGGGGTATGCAGTTGGGACTGTTTGGGATAAAAAAAAAAAATGTTAAAAAGCAGGGGATATATATATAATTTAATATATAAAAATATAAAATATAAATAAAAATATTTTATATAAATATAATAAATAATAAAATATAAAAATTAAAAATATAAACATTATAATAAATATATAAATATATAAAAATATAAATTTATATATTATATAATAAATATATATTAAAAAAAATTTTATATTATAAATATAAAATATATATATATAATATATATAAATATAAAAAAATTTTATATATTTTATATATTAAAAATATAAAAATTGGGTAGTAGGTTTTGGTAGACAAAAACCCCCCCGGGAATACAAACCCAAAATCCAAAAAGACTGTGAAACAAAAACCTGTAACGTTTGCATGATGTAGGATTGCGGTTTCTTTTCTTCTCATAAACAGCAAAGAAACAGGGATATCTTGCTAGTCCTATTTAAAAAATTTGGGTTCACACTTCACGACACGCACAATCCCATATATAATATACATACATCTAGGTTTTTTTTTCCTTTTTCTAAATAGCCTTGTTTTTTTTTTTAATTTCTTCTATTGAAAAAGGGGAAAGTGGAAAAAATCTTTCCTCCTAAGCCATGCGTGTCGTATGAGGCGACTAAAATCCCCCGGGGAGCAATGGGCTGTAACCCCTTTCCTTAAAAATTTACAAAAAAAAGAGAAGAAAAAAAAACTTTAAAAACGGGGTTTGCTTAAATTGCGTGGTTTAAAGTGCAAATTTTAAAAAAAAGATGTTTTGCTAAATTTTTAATGAATGAAAAAAATTTGGATGTCCTGGCCCTAAGCAAAAACAAAGCTAAAGGGGGTGGGAGATTTCAGGGGGGGGAAATAAAAAGGGATTAAATCGGGAGTTCTGAGAGAGTTAGAGAAAAGGGAAAGGGGGTAGCATAATTTTAAAATGACAGTTAGGGAAAGGGAGAAAAGAGAATATAAATTGTGAAAAATTAAAGAAAAATGTGGATTAAAGTAAAGGTTGGATCAGAAGGGGCCCATAATAAGGGGTGTATGCCCCGGGAGAAGAGAGGAATGCAAAAGGAGAAGAGAGTTTTTGGGAGATGTTAATTAAAAGTATAGGGGGGGGCCTTTGAACCAAGTGAGGGGTTTAATTTTGGGGGTAGGGGCCCTTAAAATCAAAGTGGGAAAAAACTTTTGGGAAGGGTGTGGTGGGAAATTTTTGGGGTGCCAGGTTTTAAATGATAATGGGACCCTTTAAATTGAACTTTGTAAAGAAAGGGGATTTAAATATGGGTAACAAATTTTAAAAAAAAGGGGAAAAATAAGTAAACACGAAAGATGTAGGGCAAAATACAGAATTTTGGGGAAAGTATTGGTAAAATAAAAGACTTTTGAGTAAAACTTCGGGAAAGTACATGTTTTAAAGGGGGGCCCCACAGATAAAATCAGATCACTTTCAAGTTGTAGCTACACTGAGAAAAAAGGGGTTAATGGATAAAAAGGGAAATAAACCCTAAAGGGAAGAAGGGGTTAAAGGGTTTTAAAAAACAAAAAAAGGAGGCATTTAGGGTAAGTTTAAAAAACAGCTTTTGGGGATAAAAGGGCAAAAAGAAGCATGGGCCCAATTTGGGGCGAAAAAGGTTTATGGGGGTGGGTTTAAAAAAATGTATGAAAGAGTTTTCAGCAAAATTTTTTTGGTTACAGGAAGGGGGTTCAGGAGGGAAGAGGACGTTTGGGGGAATAAAAGAGTAAAAAGAAGTAAGGAGAAAAATTTTAGAAATATGAGAAGTTTTACAAAGTAGAAGTGATGCAAGGAGGGAAAAAGGTAAGGGAGAAAAAGAGAAAGTTAAGAAGTGGTGAAGAAATTGTAAAAAGAGCAAATGAGAGAGTGGGTAGATTTTAAACACAAATATTGTTAAAAATAAGAAAAAAATTTTGGAGGAGATTAACAAGAAAAGAAAGCCTAGAAACAAAGGGGATTTTCATTTAAAAAATGGGAAAGGGGAATTTTATTAAATGGAGATTTTTAGGGGTATTGGGAAAAAGGGAAAGGAATATTTTTGAGGAATTTTAAATTTGAGAAGATGGGGAAAGCGGTGTTTTCCCGTGAATAGCCAAGAGGAATAACACCCTTGTAGGAGTGGGGAAGAGCCATTTGTTTTTGTGGGGAATTTCGTGAGGCAGTGGGAAAAAAAAAAAGGGGGGAAAAGCACCGGGGATTGATGGGAAAAAAGATAAAAATGTTAAAAGCGGGTGGGGATAAGTTTTGGAGGGGTTGGTCAATTTTTTAAATAAAGGGTATGGAAGGGGGGTAAGGTACCTAGGGATTGGAAAGAGAGAAAAGCATATTTCCCTTTTGTAAAAAGGGCAAAGGGGATAAAAGAAGTGAAAAAATTTATAAGGGGATAATCTGTTGGTAACCTGGAAAAAGTGTATGGTAATTTTATTTTGAAAGAATTAAAGAAAGACGGAGAATGGGAAAAACAGTTTGAACAAGGAGCTTTAGGAAAGTAAGGGGTTTTTGGGGGGGGACCAGGTGTTTACATGAAACATATAAGTAAACCCTATTTAGATAAGGCTAAAGAGGTTTTTGGGAATTTAGGGTTTTAAAAAGGGGGGCGTATACAGGGGGGAAAAGGGGGGCCCAAATGGGCAGATGTTGAAAAGTGAAATGGTGTAGGAGGTGGGTTACAAAAAAGAAAGGAAATTTTTTTTTACGAGGATAGGAGCTAAAGGGTTAGATTATTGGAAAGGGGGAAAATTTTTTTCCCCGAAAAAAAGGGGCCTTTTTAAAAAGGGAAATGTGTATGTCCCCCCGGGTTGGTTTTTTAAAAATTTATAAAAAGGGGTTTTAAGAGAAGTAAATGCAGGGCCCCATGGCAAGAGCGGGGGATTTAAAAGGGATAAAAAAACCAAAAACAAAAAGTGGGATTTGTAAACACCCGGGCCTTACTAAAGACACGTGCCCTTGGGAAAATTCTGAATAAATTTTGCAGAGTTTGGGGGGATGAATTTTTGGTTGGGGTTTGTGCAAAAGAAAAAAATTTAAAGGTAAATTTTAAAAGAGAAAGGGTTAAAGAGGTAACAAAAAGATTGGGTGAGGAAAGATTAAATC